CCGCCGGCTGACTCCTCCTGGGACGGAGCACAGAGCCATCGCCGCCTCAGGTCCCGGGCGGGACCTCGAGGCCACGCCGGTGTTCGTCTCCGGCGTCTCCGGCGTCTCCGGCGTCTCTAGCGGCTGGCGGCCTAGCGGCCCTAGCGGCCTAGCGGCCTAGCGGCCCTAGCGGCGTGCTCCCGTGGGCGACGGTGGTACGGCAGCCCCCCCCCCCCCCCCCCCCCCCCCCCCCCCCACCACGTCGCGGGGAACGGTGGGCAGCCGAGCCGCTGGTTTATCTTCGTGAGTCCAGACGTGAGAAGGCTCACAGAGCACGAGACGACGGGAGGCCCGGACCGGAGCCGAGGAGTTTGTCCGGCGGCTCGTCGGCTCAACGGCCCCCCCCCCCCCCCCCCCCCCCGCCCCGTCTGAAGGCCGCCTGCTGAGGCAGGGAGGAGGAGGCCCAAGTCCTCGCTGGTACGCTTGGGCGAGGGAGGTTACGTCGCTGAGAGAGGGAGGAAGAGACGGGGAAGAGAGGGGATCGAGACTTTTGGCTTTCATTGCCGCCAGCAGCGGCACTGGGGGGCGATTCCGATACCGGCAGCGCGGAATGGAAGTGAACGCTGCAAATCCACGCGCACGACGCGAGAGAGAAGCCACGTGGTGGTGGTGGTGGTGGTGGTGGTGGTTGTGGTGGTTGTGGTGGTGGTGGTGGTTGTTGTGGTTGGTGGTGGTTGTGGTGGTGGTGTTTGTTGTGGTGGTGGTGGTGGTTGTGGTGGTGGTGGTTGTGGTGGTGGTTGTGGTGGTGGTGGTTGTGGTGGTTGTGGTGGTGGTGGTGGTTGTTGTGGTGGTGGTGGTTGTGGTGGTTGTGGTTGTGGTGGTGGTGGTGGTTGTGGTGGTGGTGGTTGTTGTGGTGGTGGTGGTTGTGGTGGTGGTGGTGTGATGGTGGTGGTGGTTGTGGTGGTGGTGGTTGTGGTGGTGGTTGTGGTGGTGGTGGTTGTGGTGTGGTGGTGGTGGTGGTGGTTGTGGTGGTGGTGGTTGTGATGGTGGTGGTGGTTGTGGTGGTTGTGATGGTGGTGGTGGTTGTTGTGGTGGTTGTGGTGGTGGTGGTGGTTGTGGTGGTGGTTGTGGTGGTGGTTGTTGTGGTTGTGGTCATCGCGAGCGCTACGAAAGTTGAACGCGATGAGGGTGCCCGTCTACGCTGGTACAGAGAGAGGGGGGGCCCCGGGCCCCCCCCACCCCCCAGCGTTCTAAGAAGACGCTCGGCACGTCACCGACATGAGATCGCGAGAGAGAGAGGGAGGGAGGGGGATAGAGAGATAGGGAGCTGATAGATCCGGATCCCATTCTCCTCCAGCGATGATGACACAGAGAGTGGAGGAGAGTGAGGGTTGGGAGGGTGGGTGGGTGGAGTGTTTGCCGTGTAGTGGAGTGGTGTGTCCGGGATTTGAGAGATCTCTGAGTGGGAGCCTGGCTCTGAGATCATCGCTACCCCATTCGGCGTCTTCTGTACACTCAGAGAGAGAGAGAGAGCTGATGCACATATACTCTGATTTAAATACAAAAAAACACTCATATATACAAAAGACAAAGATCCCCCGTGTAGCCTTGACAGACTGTAGGGGCAAGTGCTGTTAGCGAGCACCAGCTATGAAGGCCGGTAACGGTACACGAGGGGGTGGGTGGCCAGCACCACGCCCGACCGCCTTTGTCTCCCCAGTGGCGATGTTTACTACACACCGAAACCAGGTACTCATTTGAGGCCGAGTCGACCTAGGGGAGGCCCGGGACCGGTTCAGATAATCGTCACTGGTGTTGGCCGTGAGCGGGAATCGAACCCGAGTCGCCAGGTTCATAGCGCAGCGTAGCGCTAACCACTACACTACCGCTCCCCACTCATATACACACGTACACACACAAATGTACACACTCATATTTAGGGGCAAGTGCTGTTGGTAGTAGCGAGTAGCAGTACCTATGATGCACACACAGACAAAGCTCCCCCAGGTAGCCTCTAGCAGGGCTGTAGGGGCAAGTGCTGTTAGTAGCGAGTAGCAACAGATGTGATACACACAGACAAAGCTCCCCCAGGTAGCCTCTAGCAGGGCTGTAGGGGCAAGTGCTGTTAGTAGCGAGTAGCACCACCTATGATGCACACACACAGACAAAGCTCCCCCAGGTAGCCTCCAGCAGGGCTGTAGGGGCAAGTGCTGTTGGTAGTAGCGAGTAGCAGCACCTATGATGCACACACAGACAAAGCCCCCCCAGGTAGCCTCTAGCAGAGCTGTAGGGGCAAGTGCTGTTGGTAGTAGCGAGTAGCAGTACCTATGATGCACACACAGACAAAGCTCCCCCAGGTAGCCTCTAGCAGGGCTGTAGGGGCAAGTGCTGTTGGTAGTAGCGAGTAGCAGCACCTATGATGCACACACAGACAAAGCTCCCCCAGGTAGCCTCTAGCAGGGCTGTAGGGGCAAGTGCTGTTGGTAGTAGCGAGTTGCAGCACCTATGATACACACGCAGACAAAGTTCCCCCAGGTAGCCTTTAGCAGGGCTGTAGGGGCAAGTGCTGCTAGTAGCGAGTAGCACCACCTATGATACACACGCAGACAAAGTTCCCCCAGGTAGCCTCTAGCAGGGCTGTAGGGGCAAGTGCTGTTGGTAGTAGCGAGTAGCAGCACCTATGATACACACAGACAAAGCTCCCCCAGGTAGCCTCCAGCAGGGCTGTAGGGGCAAGTGCTGTTGGTAGTAGCGAGTAGCACCACCTATGATGCACACACAGACAAAGTTCCCCCAGGTAGCCTCTAGCAGGGCTGTAGGGGCAAGTGCTGTTGGTAGTAGCGAGTAGCAGCACCTATGATACACACAGACAAAGCTCCCCCAGGTAGCCTCCAGCAGGGCTGTAGGGGCAAGTGCTGTTGGTAGTAGCGAGTAGCAGCACCTATGATGCACACACAGACAAAGCTCCCCCAGGTAGCCTCTAGCAGGGCTGTAGGGGCAAGTGCTGTCAGTAGCGAGCAGCACCACCTATGAAGGCTACCGGCACTGTGGCTACATACACACACAGAGGGGGGAGAGGTCAGCACCACCACGCCCGGCCGCCTTTGTCTTCCCAGCGGAGATGTTCAATGCACACCAACAACAACCGCCATTCGCCACTAAGTGGCGGTGACGTCACCACGACGCTTGTGCCAGGCTAAGTGCACCCTGAGGCCACGTGAAGTGTCGAACGCCCGTTGGCAGGAGGCCACGGGGCAGACCCAGCAGGTGCCACGGGTCGACTGACTGAGATGACTGAGATGACTGGCTGATGCACCACCTGTGCCCCCTACTGTGCCAACCTGCACACCACCACTCCACCCACACACACACACAGTGCGCTAACCACTGCACCACCACTCCACACACACAGTGCGCTAACCATGGTTGTGGTTGTGTTAATGGTTGTTGTGGTTGTGATAATGATTGTTGGTGTGGTTGTTGTGATCATGATTGTTGTTGTGTTGTTGTGATGATGATTGTGGTTGTTGTGTGGTTGTGATAATGATTGTTGTTGTGGTTGTTGTGATAATGATTGTTGTTGTGTGGTTGTTGTGATAATGATTGTTGTTGTGATGATTGTTGTTGTGATAATGATTGTTGTTGTGGTTGTTGTGATAATGGTTGTTGTTGTGGTTGTTGTGATAATTGTTGTTGTGGTTGTTGTTGTGATGATTGTTGTTGTTGTGGTTGTTGATAATAATTGTTGTGGTTGTTGTGATAATGATTGTTGTGGTTGTGATAATGATTGTTGTTGTGGTTTTTGTTGTGATAATACTTGTTGTTGTGGTTGTGATAATAATAGTTGTGATAATAGTTGTTGTTGTTGTGGTTGTTGTTGTGATGATTGTTGTTGTGGTTGTTGATAATAATTGTTGTTGTGGTTGTTGTGATAATGATTGTTGTTGTGGTTGTGATAATGATTGTTGTTGTGGTGTTGTTGTGATAATTGTTGTTGTTGTGGTTGTTGTGATAATGATTGTTGTGGTTGTTGTTGTTGTGATAATAGTTGTGGTTGTTGTTGTTATGATAATAGTTGTGGTTGTTGTGATAATAGTTGTTGTTGTGGTTGTTGTGATAATGATTGTTGTGGTTGTTGTGATAATTATTGTTGTTGTTGTGGTTGTTGTGATAATAATTGTTGTTGTGGTTGTGATAATGATTGTTGTTGTGGTTGTGATAATGATTGTTGTTGTTGTGATAATAATTGTCGTTGTGGTTGTTGTGATAATGATTGTTGTGGTTGTGATAATGATTGTTGTTGTGATAATAATTGTTGTTGTGGTTGTTGTGATAATGATTGTTGTTGTGGTTGTGATAATGATTGTTGTTGTGGTGTTGTTGTGATAATTGTTGTTGTTGTGGTTGTTGTGATAATGATTGTTGTGGTTGTTGTTGTTGTGATAATAGTTGTGGTTGTTGTTGTTATGATAATAGTTGTGGTTGTTGTGATAATAGTTGTTGTTGTGGTTGTTGTGATAATGATTGTTGTGGTTGTTGTGATAATTATTGTTGTTGTTGTGGTTGTTGTGATAATAATTGTTGTTGTGGTTGTGATAATGATTGTTGTTGTGGTTGTGATAATGATTGTTGTTGTTGTGATAATAATTGTCGTTGTGGTTGTTGTGATAATGATTGTTGTGGTTGTGATAATGATTGTTGTTGTGATAATAATTGTTGTTGTTGTGGTTGTTGTGATAATGATTGTTGTTGTGGTTGTGATAATGATTGTTGTTGTTGTGATAATAATTGTTGTTGTGGTTGTTGTGATAATGATTGTTGTGGTTGTGATAATGATTGTTGTTGTTGTGATAATAATTGTTGTTGTTGTGATAATAATTGTTGTTGTGGTTGTTGTGATAATGATTGTTGTGGTTGTGATAATGATTGTTGTTGTTGTGATAATAATTGTTGTTGTGGTTGTTGTGATAATGATTGTTGTTGTGGTTGTTGTGATAATGATTGTTGTTGTTGTGGTGGAGGCTGCCGAGGTGGAGCAGCAGCTGTCTGCACAGGTGTTGGGTCTTCGCGATGAGTTTCGGGAGAAAAGTTTCTCCACACAGCAGCACCTGGCACGTCTAGAGAGCTTGCAGGCAGAGGTGAGCACTCACCACTCACTCACCACTCACTCACCACTCACTCACCACTCACTCACCACTCACTCACCACTCACTCACCACTCACCACTCACTCACCACTCACTCACCACTCACTCACCATTCACTCACCACTCACTCACCACTCACCACTCACTCACCACTCACTCACCACTCACTCACCACTCACTCACCACTCACCACTCACTCACCACTCACTCACCACTCACCACTCACTCACCACTCACTCACCACTCACTCACTCACCACTCACTCACCACTCACTCAGTCACTCACTCACCACTCACTCACCACTCACCACTCACTCACCACTCACTCACTCACCACTCGCTCACCACTCACTCACCACTCACTCACTCACCACTCACCTCTCACTCACCACTCACTCACCACTCACTCACCACTCACTCACCACTCACTCACCACTCACTCACTCACCACTCACTCACCACTCACTCAGTCACTCACTCACCACTCACCATTCACTCACCACTCACCATTCACTCACTCACCACTCACTCACCACTCACTCACCACTCACTCACTCATACACTCACTCACCACTCACTCACCACTCACTCAGTCACTCACTCACCACTCACTCACCACTCACTCACCATTCACTCACCACTCACCACTCACCATTCACTCACTCACCACTCACTCACTCACCCACTCACTCACTCACTCACCACTCACTCACCACTCACTCACCACTCACTCACTCACCACTCACTCACTCACTCACCACTCACTCACTCAGTGACTCACTCACTCACTCACCACTCACTCACCACTCACCCACCACTCACTCACCACTCACTCACCACTCACCCACCACTCACCCACCACTCACTCACCACTCACTCACCACTCACTCACCACTCACTCACCACTCACTCACCACTCACTCACCACTCACTCACTCACTCACCACTCACTCACTCACCACTCACTCACCACTCACCACTCACTCACCACTCACCTCTCACTCACCACTCACTCACCACTCACTCACCACTCACTCACCACTCACCACTCACTCACCACTCACTCACCACTCACTCACCACTCACTCACCACTCACTCACCACTCACTCACCACTCACTCACCACTCACCACTCACTCACCACTCACTCACTCACCACTCACTCACCACTCACCACTCACTCACCACTCACCTCTCACTCACCACTCACTCACCACTCACCACTCAGTCACCACTCACTCACCACTCACTCACCACTCACCATTCACTCACCACTCACTCACCACTCACTCACCACTCACTCACCACTCACTCACCACTCACCTCTCACTCACCACTCACTCACCACTCACTCACCACTCACTCACCACTCACCACTCACTCACCACTCACTCACCACTCACTCACCACTCACTCACCACTCACCATTCACTCACCACTCACCACTCACTCACCACTCACTCACCACTCACTCACCACTCACTCACCACTCACTCACCACTCACTCACTCACCACTCACTCACCACTCACTCACCACTCACTCACCACTCACCACTCAGTCACCACTCACTCACCACTCACTCACCACTCACTCACTCATACACTCACTCACCACTCACTCACCACTCACCACTCACTCACCACTCACTCACCACTCACTCACCACTCACTCACCACTCACCACTCACTCACCACTCACTCACCACTCACCACTCACTCACCACTCACTCACCACTCACTCACCACTCACTCACCACTCACTCACCACTCACCATTCACTCACCACTCACTCACCACTCACTCACCACTCACTCACCACTCACCACTCACTCACCACTCACTCACCACTCACTCACTCACCACTCACTCACCACTCACTCACCACTCACTCACCACTCACCACTCACTCACCACTCACTCACCACTCACTCACTCACCACTCACTCACCACTCACTCACCACTCACTCACCACTCACCACTCACTCACCACTCACTCACCACTCACCACTCACTCACCACTCACCACTCACTCACCATTCACTCACCACTCACTCACCACTCACTCACCACTCACCACTCACTCACCACTCACTCACCACTCACTCACTCACCACTCACCTCTCACTCACCACTCAGTCACCACTCACTCACCACTCACTCACCACTCACTCACCACTCACTCACTCATACACTCACTCACCACTCACTCACCACTCACTCACCACTCACTCACCACTCACTCACCACTCACCACTCACTCACCACTCACTCACCACACACTCACTCACCACTCACTCACCACTCACCACTCACTCACCACTCACTCACCACTCACTCACCACTCACTCACCACTCACTCACTCACCACTCACCACTCACCTCTCACTCACCACTCACTCACCACTCACTCACCACTCACTCACCACTCACCACTCACTCACCACTCACTCACCACTCACCATTCACTCACCACTCACTCACCACTCACTCACCACTCACTCACCACACACTCACTCACCACTCACTCACCACTCACTCACCACACACTCACTCACCACTCACTCACCACTCACCACTCACTCACCACTCACTCACCACTCACTCACCACTCACTCACCACTCACTCACCACTCACTCACCACTCACCTCTCACTCACCACTCACTCACCACTCACTCACCACTCACTCACCACTCACCACTCACTCACCACTCACTCACCACTCACTCACCACTCACTCACTCACTCACCACTCACCTCTCACTCACCACTCACTCACCACTCACTCACCACTCACCACTCACTCACCATTCACCACTCACTCACCACTCACTCACCACTCACTCACCACTCACTCACTCACTCACCACTCACCACTCACCACTCACTCACCACTCACTCACCACTCACTCACCACTCAGTCACCACTCAGTCACCACTCACTCACCACTCACTCACCACTCACTCACTCAGTGACTCACTCACTCACTCACCACTCACTCACCACTCACTCACTCACCACTCACTCACTCATACACTCACTCACCACTCACTCACCACTCACTCAGTCACTCACTCACCACTCACTCACCACTCACTCACCATTCACTCACCACTCACCATTCACTCACTCACCACTCACTCACCACTCACTCACCACTCACTCACCATTCACTCAGTCACTCAGTGACTCACTCACTCACCACTCACTCACCACTCACTTACCACTCACTCACCACTCACTCACCACTCACCACTCACTCACCACTCACTCACCACTCACTCACTCAGTGACTTACTCACTCACTCACCACTCACTCACCACTCACTCACCACTCACTCATACACCACTCACCACTCACCCACCACTCACTCACCACTCACTCACCACTCACTCACTCACCACTCACTCACTCACTCACCACTCACTCACTCACTCACCACTCACTCACTCACCCACTCACTCACCACTCACTCACTCACTCACCACTCACTCACCACTCACTCACCACTCACTCACCACTCACCACTCACCTCTCACTCACCACTCACTCACCACTCACTCAGCACTCAGTCACCACTCACTCACCACTTACTCACCACTCACTCACCACTCACTCAGTCACTCACTCACCACTCACTCACCACTCACTCACCATTCACTCACCACTCACCATTCACTCACTCACCACTCACTCACCACTCACTCACCATTCACTCAGTCACTCAGTGACTCACTCACTCACCACTCACTCACCACTCACTCACCACTCACCACTCACTCACTCAGTGACTCACTCACTCACCACTCACTCACCACTCACTCACCACTCACCACTCACCCACCACTCACTCACCACTCACTCACCACTCACTCACTCACCACTCACTCACTCACTCACCACTCACTCACTCACCCACTCACTCACCACTCACTCACTCACCCACTCACTCACTCACTCACCACTCACTCACCACTCACTCACTCACCACTCACTCACCACTCACTCACTCACCCACTCACTCACCCACTCACTCACCACTCACTCACCACTCACTCACTCAGTGATTCAATCACTCACTCACCACTCACTCACCACTCACTCACCACTCACTCACTCACTCACCACTCACTCACCACTCACCATTCACTCACTCACCACTCACTCACCACTCACTCACCACTCACTCAGTCACTCAGTGACTCACTCACTCACCACTCACTCACCACTCACTCACCACTCACTCACCATTCACTCACCACTCACTCACCACTCACTCACCACTCACTCACCACTCACTCACTCAGTGACTCACTCACTCACCACTCACTCAGTGACTCACTCACTCACTCACCACTCACTCACCACTCACTCATACACCACTCACCACTCACCCACCACTCACTCACCACTCACTCACTCACCACTCACTCACCACTCACTCATCACTCACTCACTCACCACTCACTCACCACTCACTCACACACTCACTCACTCACTCACCGCTCACTCACCACTCACTCACTCACTCACCACTCACTCACCACTCACTCACCAGTTGGTGAGTGTCCTGGTGAGTTGGTGAGTGAGTTGGTGAGTGTACTGGTGAGTTGGTGTGTGAGTTGGTGAGTGTACTGGTGAGTTGGTGAGTGTACTGGTGAGTTGGTGAGTGAGTTGGTGAGTGTACTGGTGAGTTAGTGAGTGTACTCGTGAGTTGGTGAGTGTACTATTGAGGTGGTGAGTGAGTTGGTGAGTGAATTGGTGAGTTGGTGAGTGAGTTGGTGAGTGAGTTGGTGAGTGAGTTGTTTGGTGAGTTGCTGAGTAAGTTGGTGAGTGAGTTGGTGAGTGAGTTGGTGAGTGAGTTGGTGAGTGAGTTGGTGAGTTTGTGAGTGAGTTGGTGAGTTGGTGAGTGAGTTTGTGAGTGAGTCAGTGAGTCGGTGAGTTGGTGAGTGAGTTGGTGAGTGAGTTGGTGAGTGAGTTTGTGAGTGAGTTTGTGAGTGAGTTGGTGAGTGAGTTGGTGAGTGGGTGAGTTGGTGAGTGAATTGTTGAGTGAGTTGGTGAGTTGGTGAGTGAGTTGGTGAGTGAGTTGGTGAGTGAGTTGGTGAGTGAGTTGGTGAGTGGGTGAGTTGGTGAGTGATTTGTTGAGTGAGTTGGTGAGTTGGAGGGTGAGTTGGTGAGTGAGTTGGTGAGTGAGTTGGTGAGTGAGTTGGTGAGTGAGTTTATGAGTGAGTTGGTGAGTTGGTGAATGAGTTGGTGAGTGAGTTGGTGAGTGCGTTTGTGAGTGAGTGAGTTGGTGAGTGAGTTGGTGAGTTGGTGAGTGAGTTGGTGAGTGAATTGGTGAGTTGGTGAGTGAGTTGGTGAGTGAGTTGGTGAGTGAGTTGGTGAGTGAGTTGGTGAGTTGGTGAGTGAGTTAGTGAGTGAGTGAGTTGGTGAGTGAGTGAGTTGGTGAGTGAGTTGGTGAGTGTGTTGGTGAGTGAGTTGGTGAGTTGGTGAGTGAGTTGGTGAGTGAGTTGGTGAGTTTGTGAGTTGGTGAGTGAGTGAGTTGGTGAGTGAGTGAGTTGGTGAGTTGGTGAGTGAGTTGGTGAGTGAGTGAGTTGGTGAGTGAGTTGGTGAGTGAGTGAGTTGGTGAGTGAGTTGGTGAGTGAGTGAGCTGGTGGGTGAGTTGGTGAGTGAGTTGGTGAGTTGGTGAGTGAGTTGGTGAGTGAGTTGGTGAGTTGGTGAGTGAGTTGGTGAGTGAGTTGGTGAGTTTGTTGTGAGTTTGTGAGTTGTTGAGTCTCTCTGCTGGTCTCTGACTTCTCTTCCTTCCTTTGCTGTTCGAATTCTTTTGTTGCGGATCAGCAAATTAATGAGGTAGGTGGTGATAGTGGTGATGGTGGTGATGGTGGTGATGGTGGTGGTGATGGTGGTGATGATGGTGATGGTGGTGGTGATGGTAGTGATGGTGATGGTGGTGATGGTGGTGATGGTAGTGATGGTGATGGTGGTGATGGTGGTGATGGTGGTGATGGTGATGGTGGTGATGGTGGTGATGGTGGTGATGATGGTGATGGTGGTGATGGTGGTGATGGTGGTGGTGATGGTGGTGATGGTGGTGATGATGGTGGTGATGGTGGTGATGGTGATGGTGGTGTGATGGTGGTGGTGGTGATGGTGGTGATGGTGATGGTGGTGATGGTGATGGTGGTGATGGTGGTGATGGTGGTGATGGTGGTGGTGGTGATGGTGGTGATGGTGATGGTGGTGATGGTTGTGGTGGTGGTGGTGGTGATGATGGTGGTGATGGTGGTGGTGATGGTGGTGATGGTGGTGATGGTGATGATGGTGGTGATGGTGGTGATGGTGGTGGTGATGGTGGTGATGGTGGTGATGGTGGTGGTGGTGGTGATGGTGGTGATGGTGGTGATGGTGGTGATGGTGGTGATGGTGGTGGTGGTGATGATGGTGGTGATGGTGGTGATGGTGGTGGTGGTGGTGATGGTGGTGGTGGTGATGATGGTGGTGATGGTGGTGGTGGTGATGGTGGTGATGGTGGTGATGGTGGTGGTGGTGGTAGTGATGGTGGTGGTGGTGATGGTGGTGGTGGTGATGGTGGTGGTGGTGGTGATGGTGGTGGTGGTGGTGATGGTGGTGGTGGTGGTGATGGTGGTGGTGGTGGTGATGGTGGTGGTGATGGTGGTGATGGTGGTGGTGATGGTGGTGATGGTGGTGATGGTGGTTGTGATGATGGTCATGGTGGTGATGGTGGTGGTGGTGGTGATGGTGGTGATGGTGGTGATGGTGGTGGTGATGGTGGTGATGGTGGTGATGGTGGTGGTGATGGTGGTGGTGGTGATGGTGGTGATGGTGGTGGTGATGGTGGTGATGGTGATGGTGGTGATGGTGGTGATGATGGTGGTGATGGTGGTGATGGTGGTGGTGGTGATAGTGGTGGTGATGATGGTGATGGTGGTGATGGTGATGGTGATGATGATGGTGGTGATGGTGGTGGTGGTGATGGTGGTGGTGATGGTGGTGATGGTGGTGATGGTGATGGTGGTGATGGTGATGGTGGTGATGGTGGTGGTGATGGTGGTGATGGTGGTGATGGTGGTGGTGGTGATGGTGGTGGTGGTGGTGGTGATGGTGGTGATGGTGATGGTGGTGGTGATGGTGGTGGTGGTGATGGTGGTGGTGGTGGTGGTGATGGTGGTGATGGTGGTGATGGTGGTGGTGATGTGGTGGTGGTGGTGGTGATGGTGGTGATGGTGGTGGTGGTGATGGTGGTGATGGTGATGGTGGTGGTGGTGATGGTGGTGATGATGGTGATGGTGGTGATGGTGGTGATGGTGGTGGTGATGGTGGTGGTGGTGGTGATGGTGGTGATGGTGATGGTGGTGGTGGTGATGGTGATGGTGGTGATGGTGGTGATGGTGGTGATGGTGGTGGTGATGGTGGTGGTGGTGATGGTGGTGATGGTGGTGGTGGTGATGGTGATGGTAGTGATGGTGATGATGATAATGATGGTGACGATGGTGGTGATGGTAGTGATGTTGACGATGATGGTAGTGATGGTGATGATGATGAAGGTGACGACGATGACGATGATGATAATGATGGTGATGATGATGGTAGTGATGATGACGATGACGACGATGACGACGCCGATGACGGCGATGGTCTCCTTGCGACGCCGCCCCAGATCCGCCTCCTCACCGAGCGAAAGTTGGAGCTGGAGCGACGTCTCCGCGAGGCGGCCCTGGAGAATGAACAGCTCCATGCCGCCGTGCAGGAGATGCAGCAGAGAGACTTTGCTCTGCAGCTCGCGGGCAGAGCCCGCGACGCGCAGGTGGAGCACCTAGCCTGGCACGCACGCCGTGTCTGTGCGTGTGCGTGGTGTCTGTGCGTGTGCGTGGTGTCTGTGTGTGTCTGTATGTGCGTGGTGTCTGTATGTGGTGTCTGCGTGTCTGTATGTACGTGTCTGTATGTGCGTGGTGTCTGTATGTGCGTGGTGTCTGTACGTGTGTGGTGTCTGTATGTACCTGGTGTCTGTACGTGGTGTCTGTGCGTGGTGTCTGTCTATACGTGGCTGTATGTGCGTGGTGTCTGTATGTGTGTGGTGTCTGTATGTGTGTGGTGTCTGTATGTGTGTGGTGTCTGTATGTGTGTGAGTCTGTATGTGTGTGGTGTCTGTATGTGCGTGGTGTCTGTACGTGGTGTCTGTGTGTACATGGTGCCTGTGCGTGTCTGTACGTGGTGTCTGTATGTGTGTGGTGTCTGTATGTGCGTGGTGTCTGTATGTGTGTGGTGTCTGTATGTACGTGGTGTCTGTATGTGCGTGGTGTCTGTAAGTACGTGGTGTCTGTATGTGTGTGGTGTCTGTATGTACGTGGTGTCTGTACGTGGTGTCTGTGTGTACGTGGTGTCTGTGTGTGTGTGGTGTCTGTACGTGGTGTCTGTGCGTGTCTGTATGTGCGTGGTGTCTGTATGTGGTGTCTGTGCGTGTCTGTATGTACGTGGTGTCTGTGCGTGGTGTCTGTATGTGGTGTCTGTGCGTGCGTGGTGTCTGTACGTGCGTGGTGTCTGTATGTGGTGTCTGTGCGTGGTGTCTGTATGTGGTGTCTGTGCGTGCGTGGTGTCTGTACGTGCGTGGTGTCTGTATGTGGTGTCTGTGCGTGGTGTCTGTATGTGGTGTCTGTGCGTGCGTGGTGTCTGTACGTGCGTGGTGTCTGTGTGTGGTGTCTGTATGTGGTGTCTGTATGTACGTGGTGTCTGTACGTGCGTGGTGTCTGTATGTGGTGTCTGTATGTGGTGTCTGTGCGTACGTGGTGTCTGTATGTACGTGGTGTCTGTATGTACGTGGTGTCTGTATGTACATGGTGCCTGTGCGTGTCTGTATGTGGTGTCTGTACGTGCGTGGTGTCTGTATGTACGTGGTGTCTGTCTGTACGTGGTGTCTGTGCGTGGTGTCTGTACGTGGTGTCTGTACGTGGTGTCTGTACGTGCGCGGTGTCTGTATGTACGTGGTGTCTGTACGTGGTGTCTGTACGTGCGCGGTGTCTGTATGTACGTGGTGTCTGTGCGTGGTGTCTGTACGTGGTGTCTGTACGTGGTGTCTGTGCGTGGTGTCTGTACGTGGTGTCTGTACGTGCGCGGTGTCTGTACGTGCGTGGTGTCTGTACGTGCGTGGTGTCTGTGCGTGGTGTCTGTGCGTGCGTGGTGTCTGTACGTGCGTGGTGTCTGTACGTACGTGGTGTCTGTGCGTGGTGTCTGTGCGTGCGTGGTGTCTGTACGTACGTGGTGTCTGTACGTGGTGTCTGTATGTGCGTGGTGTCTGTACGTGGTGTCTGTACGTGGTGTCTGTATGTGGTGTCTGTGCGTGCGCGGTGTCTGTATGTTTGTGGTGTCTGTACGTACGTGGTGTCTGTACGTGGTGTCTGTGCGTGGTGTCTGTGCGTGGTGTCTGTGCGTGCGTGGTGTCTGTACGTGGTGTCTGTGCGTGGTGTCTGTGCGCGGTGTCTGTACGTGGTGTCTGTACGTGGTGTCTGTATGTGCGTGGTGTCTGTGCGTGCGTGGTGTCTGTACGTGGTGTCTGTACGTGCCCGGTGTCTGTGCGTGCGTGGTGTCTGTACGTGCGTGGTGTCTGTACGTGGTGTCTGTACGTGCCCGGTGTCTGTGCGTGCGTGCCCGTTCCCCAGCTGCGCGAGTACGAGTTGGAGCTGCAGGAGGCTTGCTCCGGGCGCCGTCAGCTGCAGCTCCGCCTGGACTCCCTGCAGCAGGAGCTGAGCCTCGTGTCGGGCGAGACACACGGAGCCAGCCCCGAGAGCCTGCTCGCGGAGCTGGCTCGCTCCGAGCACTCGCAGAGACTCCAGCAGAGATCACACGAGGCACGGGGGGAGAGAGAGACACGGGGAGAGAGAGAGACACGGGGAGAGAGAGAGACACGGGGAGAGACACGGGGAGAGAGAGATGGGGAGAGAGACACACGGAGCCAGCCCCGAGAGCCTGCTCGCTGAGCTGGCTCGCTCCGAGCACTCGCAGAGACTCCAGCAGAGATCACGAGAGGCACGGGGGGAGAGAGAGACATGGGGAGAGAGAGAGACACGGGGAGAGAGAGAGACACGGGGAGAGAGACACAGAGAGAGAGACACGGGGAGAGAGAGAGACACGGGGAGAGAGAGACACGGGGAGAGAGAGATGGGGAGAGAGAGACACGGGGAGAGAGAGACGGGGGGAGAGAGAGACACGGGGAGAGAGACACGGGGAGAGAGACACACGGAGCCAGCCCCGAGAGCCTGCTCGCTGAGCTGGCTCGCTCCGAGCACTCGCAGAGACTCCAGCAGAGATCACACGAGGCACGGGGGGAGAGAGAGACACGGGGAGAGAGAGAGACACGGGGAGAGAGAGAGACACGGGGAGAGAGACACGGGGAGAGAGACACACGGAGCCAGCCCCGAGAGCCTGCTCGCTGAGCTGGCTCGCTCCGAGCACTCGCAGAGACTCCAGCAGAGATCACACGAGGCACGGGGGGAGAGAGAGACACGGGGAGAGAGAGAGACACGGGGAGAGAGAGAGACACGGGGAGAGAGACACGGGGAGAGAGAGATGGGGAGAGAGACACGGGGAGAGAGACACGGGGAGAGAGACACGGGGAGAGAGACACGGGGAGAGAGACACACGGAGCCAGCCCCGAGAGCCTGCTCGCTGAGCTGGCTCGCTCCGAGCACTCGCAGAGACTCCAGCAGAGATCACACGAGGCACGGGGGGAGAGAGAGACACGGGGAGAGAGAGACACGGGGAGAGAGAGACACGGGGAGAGAGACGCGGGGAGAGAGACGCGGGGAGAGAGACGCGGGGAGATAGACGCGGGGAGAGAGACGCGGGGAGATAGACGCGGGGAGAGAGAGAGAGACACGGGGAGAGAGACACGGGGAGAGAGAGATGGGGAGAGAGACACGGGGAGAGAGACACGGGGAGAGAGACACGGGGAGAGAGACACGGGGAGAGAGAGACACGGGGAGAGAGACACGGGGAGAGAGACACAGAGAGAGACACGGGGAGAGAGACACGGGGAGAGAGACACACGGAGCCAGCCCCGAGAGCCTGCTCGCTGAGCTGGCTCGCTCCGAGCACTCGCAGAGACTCCAGCAGAGATCACGAGAGGCACGGGGGGAGAGAGAGACATGGGGAGAGAGACACGGGGAGAGAGACACGGGGAGAGAGACACGGAGAGAGAGACACGGGGAGAGAGACACGGGGAGAGAGAGAGACACGGGGAGAGAGACACGGGGAGAGAGACACACGGGGAGAGAGAGACACGGGGAGAGAGACACGGGGAGAGAGAGATGGGGAGAGAGACACGGGGAGAGAGAGAGACACGGGGAGAGAGACACACGGGGAGAGAGAGACACGGGGAGAGAGAGACACGGGGAGAGAGACACGGGGAGAGAGACGCGGGGAGAGAGACACGGGGAGAGAGACACGGGGAGAGAGACACGGGGAGAGAGAGATGGGGAGAGAGACACACGGAGCCAGCCCCGAGAGCCTGCTCGCGGAGCTGGCTCGCTCCGAGCACTCGCAGAGACTCCAGCAGAGATCACACGAGGCACGGGGGGGGGGGGGGGGGGGGGGTGGGGGGCGGGAGACACGGGGGGAGAGACACGGGGAGAGAGAGACGCGGAGAGAGACACGGGGAGAGAGAGAGAGACACGGGGGGGGGGAGACACGGGGAGAGAGAGAGACACGGGGGGAGAGACACGGGGAGAGAGACGCGGGGAGAGAGAGACGCGGAGAGAGACACGGGGAGAGAGAGAGAGACACGGGGAGAGAGAGAGACACGGGGAGAGAGAGACACGGGGAGAGAGAGATGCGGGGAGAGAGAGACACGGAGAGAGAGAGACACGGGGAGAGAGAGAGACACGGGGAGAGAGCGAGACACGGGGAGAGAGAGACGCGGGGAGAGAGACGGGGAGAGAGACACGGGGAGAGAGAGAGACACGGGGAGAGAGAGAGACACGGGGAGAGAGAGAGAGACACGGGGAGAGAGACACGGGGAGAGAGAGAGACGCGGGGAGAGAGAGACGCGGAGAGAGACACGGGGAGAGAGAGACACGGGGAGAGAGAGACGCGGGGAGAGAGACGCGGGGAGATAGACGCGGGGAGAGAGACACGGGGGGAGAGACACGGGGAGAGAGACACGGGGGGAGAGACACGGGGGGAGAGACACGGGGAGAGTCACGGGGAGAGAGACCCGGGGGGGGGGGGGCGGGAGACATGGGGGGAGAGACACGGGGAGAGAGACACGGGGAGAGAGAGACACGGGGAGAGAGACACGGGGGTCGGGGGGGCGGGGGGGAGACACGGGGGGAGAGAGAGACACGGGGAGAGAGAGACACGGGGAGAGAGAGACACGGGGAGAGAGACGCGGGGAGAGAGAGAGACACGGGGAGAGAGAGACATGGGGAGAGAGACGCGGGGAGAGAGAGACACGGGGAGAGAGACACGGGGGGAGAGACACGGGGGGAGAGACACGGGGAGAGAGAGACATGGGGAGAGAGAGATGGGGAGAGAGACACGGGGAGAGAGAAAGAGAGAGAGACACGGGGAGAGAGACGCGGGGAGAGAGAGAGACACGGAGAGAGAGAGAGACACGGGGAGAGAGAGACACGGGGAGAGAGACACGGGGAGAGAGACACAGTGAGAGAGATACGGGGACAGAGACACAGGGAGAGAGAGATGGGGAGAGACACGGAGAGAGACACGGGGAGAGAGACACGTGGGTGGAGACACGGGGAGAGAGACACGGTGAGAGAGATACGGGGACAGAGACACGGAGAGAGAGACACGGGGAGAGAGACACGGGGAGAGAGACACGGGGGTGGAGACACGGGGAGAGAGAGACACGTGGGTGGAGACCACGTGGTTGGAGACACGGGGAGAGAGACACGGGGGTGGAGACACGGGGAGAGAGACACGGGGAGAGAGAGACACGGGGAGAGAGAGACACGGGGAGAGAGAGACACGGGGAGAGAGAGACACGGGGAGAGAGAGACACGGGGAGAGAGAGACACGTGGGTGGAGGCACGGGGAGAGAGACACGGGGAGAGAGAGACACGGGGGGGGAGACACGCGGAGAGAGAGACACGGGGAGAGAGAGACACGGGGGTGGAGACACGGGGAGAGAGACACGGGGAGAGAGAGACACGGGGGTGGAGACACGGGGAGAGAGACACGGGGAGAGAGAGACACGGGGGTGGAGACACGGGGAGAGAGAGACACGGGGAAAGAGAGACACGGGGGTGGAGACACGGGGGTGGAGACACGGGGAGAGAGAGACACGGGGAGAGAGAGACACGGGGAGAGAGAGACACGGGGGTGGAGACACGGGGAGAGAGAGACACGGGGAAAGAGAGACACGTGGGTGGAGACACGGGGAGAGAGACACGGGGAGAGAGAGACACGGGGGTGGAGACACGGGGAGAGAGAGACACGGGGAGAGAGAGACACGGGGGTGGAGACACGGGGAGAGAGAGACACGTGGGTGGAGACACGGGGAGAGAGACACGGGGAGAGAGAGACACGGGGAGAGAGAGAGACGCGGGGTGAGAGAGGCACGTGGGCGGAGACCACGTGGGCGGAGACCACGTGGGCGGAGACCACGTGGGCGGAGACCACGTGGGCGGAGACCACGTGGGCGGAGACCACGTGGGCGGAGACCACGTGGGCGGAGACCACGTGGGCGGAGACCACGTGGGCGGAGACCACGTGGGCGGAGACCACGTGGGCGGAGACCACGTGGGCGGAGACCACGTGGGCGGAGACCACGTGGGCGGAGACCACGTGGGCGGAGACCACGTGGGCGGAGACCACGTGGGCGGAGACCACGTGGGCGGAGACCACGTGGGCGGAGACCACGTGGGCGGAGACCACGTGGGCGGAGACCACGTGGGCGGAGACCACGTGGGCGGAGACCACGTGGGCGGAGACCACGTGGGCGGAGACCACGTGGGCGGAGACCACGTGGGCGGAGACCACGTGGGCGGAGACCACGTGGGCGGAGACCACGTGGGCGGAGACCACGTGGGCGGAGACCACGTGGGCGGAGACCACGTGGGCGGAGACCACGTGGGCGGAGACCACGTGGGCGGAGACCACGTGGGCGGAGACCACGTGGGCGGAGACCACGTGGGCGGAGACCACGTGGGCGGAGACCACGTGGGCGGAGACCACGTGGGCGGAGACCACGTGGGCGGAGACCACGTGGGCGGAGACCACGTGGGCGGAGACCACGTGGGCGGAGACCACGTGGGCGGAGACCACGTGGGCGGAGACCACGTGGGCGGAGACCACGTGGGCGGAGACCACGTGGGCGGAGACCACGTGGGCGGAGACCACGTGGGCGGAGACCACGTGGGCGGAGACCACGTGGGCGGAGACCACGTGGGCGGCCTGTCCCGTGACGTCACAATGAGGCGGCTGTCTCTGTCTCTCCCCCCCCCGCCCCGCCCAGGTGGAGGTGGAGGTGTGGGACGTCTACTGCCAGCTGCACTCCCTCTGCACCCAGCTGCGGCTGCAGCAGCAGCAGCTGCAGCTGGGCTCGCCCGGCTCCCCCGCGGGGTCTCCGGGGCTCACGCGCAGGGGCTCCGCGGCGCCCGCGGGGATCCCCCCATTGGACGGCGGGGGCGGGGGGGCGGAGCCCGAGGGGGCGGGGCCCAAGGGGCTTCCCTCATTGGACGACAAGGGGCCCGACGAGCCGGCGGGGCTTCCCTCATTGGACGACAGGGCCGAGGGGGCGGAGACGAACGCGCTCCCTTCATTGGACGACGGGGGATCCAATGAACTCGAGGGGCTTCCCTCATTGGACGACAGGGGATCCAATGAACTCACGGGGCTTCCCTCATTGGACGACAGGGCCGAGGGGGCGGAGACCAAGGGGCTCCCCTCATTGGACGACAGGGGATCCAATGAACTTAAAGGGCTTCCCTCATTGGACGACACGGCCGAGGGGGCGGAGACGAAGGGGCTTCTCTCATTGGACGACAGGGGATCCAATGAACTCACAGGGCTTCCCTCATTGGACGACAGGGGATCCAATGAACTCACGGGGCTTCGCTCATTGGACGACAGGGCCGAGGGGGCGGGCCTCATGGGGCTTCCCTCATTGGACGACAGGTGCGAGGGGGCGGAGCCCGGTGGACTTGACAGGAGCCTCAATGAACTCAGAGGGCCTCTCCGATTGGACGACGGGGGTTCCCGTGAATTTGCTGGCCTTCCCTCATTGGAGGAGGGAGAGAGGGCAGAGCCCGAGGGGCTGCCCCGATTGGATGAGGGCGGGGGCGTGGCCCCGGGCGGTCTGCGGGTGATGGTGAAGGAGCTGAAGCAGCTTGTGAGCGCCGTGGTGCTCACCAGCGCCAACGAGGTGAGGAGGAGGAACCACAACCACCAACATCACCACCACCGTCATCACTACCACCATCACCATCACCACCAACATCACCACCATCACCAACATCACCACCGTCACCACCAACACCACCACTACCACCACAACCACTACCACTACTACCACTACTACCAACATCACCACCAACATCACTACCACAACCAACATCACCAACATCACCACCACCATCACCAACATCACTTACACCGTCACCACCACTACCACCACTACCACTACTACCACTACTACTACTACCACTACCACCACCACTACCACCACCACCACTACTACCACCACTACCACCACCACTACCACTACCACCACCACTACCACTACCACCACCACCATCACCGTCACCACCACCACCACTACCACCACAACCATCACCGTCACCACCACCACCACCACTACCACCATCACCACCACTACCACCGCTACCACTACCACCACCACTACCACCATCACCACCACCATCACCACCGTCACCACCACAATCACCACCACTACCACCACCGTCACCACCACTACCACCACCATCGCCACCATCATCATCGCCACCACCATCACTACCATCCCATTCACCACCATTACCACCACCACATTCACCACCATTACCACCACCATCGACACCATCACCGCAATCACCACCACTGCCACCACTACTCTCATCATCAATACCAAAACCAATACCCGCCATTCGCTACAAAGTGACGGTGACGTCACCATGGCGCTTTTGCCAGGCCAGGTGCACTTTGAGGCCACGGGACAGACCCAGCAGGTGCCAAGGGTTGACTGCTGTGCCAGACTAGGTGCACTTTGAGATCATGGGACAGACCCAGCAGGTGCCAAGGGTTGGCTGACATGACTGGCTGATGCACCACCTGCCCCCCCTACTGTGCCAACCTGCTGTGCTTTAGCCACCCGGCGCTCCGCTCGTTGTTTTGAGCGTCGCTCCTCCGCCCTCCATTGTTGTTGGAGGGCGACTGCCTCCAACTGCCCAGTAGCAGCGTCCTTCACGAGCCTCCTCCACAGAGGCCGATCTTGACACCGCTGGTACCAGTCATCGGCAAGTCCACTCAGCTCCACGTCCTTCTGTACCACATCACTCCATCTCTTCTCTAGCCCATGCCGCGCCCGTTTAGCCCCCTCAATCCGGCCAAACAAAACAAAAGCTGTTTGGGCATACGGTGGCTGGGCATGCGGGCTACATGACCCAGCCAACGCAGCCTCAGCCTGCCGGAGGAGCTCGCCGATGGGACCTTGCCCAGATCTTTCGAGGATTTGTGAGCTCCTCACACCAAGGACATCCTTGTGGCACCCCAAGGCTCCGACTCCTGGCCACGTACTTCTACCCGGGCCCGCTCATCATCACGGGGGCCCTCGGTGATCGCGAGCAGGGAGTCATTGCACTCGGGAAGCACGAAGGGCGGCCCAGAGCCCGGGCCTACTCACGGCATCATCGTGATGCCTTGAACAGGTCAACAGAGCGGAGGCACGTGGGTCTCCCGTCGGAATTCCCTGCGCCTACTACGGGAGCAGACGGGACAGACAAAATGGCGTGGTGCACGGCACTGAAAGCAGCCATTGCAGCCGCACGAGCCACGGTCCTAAGCCTCGCCCGTGTCCCCTCGGCATCAGGAGGAGGAGGAGGAGGACGACGAAATTGTCGCCCGCGGCTTTCATCGGCTGGCCGAGGGCCCGGGCCACCGTGGGTTCGAACGGGGTCCCCGGGTGCCGGAGTGGAAGAATGTCAGGCGGTGAGGGTCGGTGGGCAGAGGATGATCGGTGGGCAGAGGATGATCGGTGGGCAGATGATGTTCGGTGGGCAGATGGTGGTCGGTGGGTAGATGATGTTCGGTGGGTAGATGATGGTTGGTGGGCAGATGGTGTTCGGTGGGCAGAGGATGATCGGTGGGTAGATGATGATCGGTGGGTAGATGGTGGTCGGTGGGTAGATGGTGTTCGGTGGGCAGTTGGTGGTCGGTGGGCAGATGAGCGACATTGTCGAGGGCGTGGTGAACATCTCTCGGCCGTGAGATGTTCACCGCCTCGCCTGGTGTACACGAGGCGGCTCTCTGTGCCCCCCCGCCCCCCGCCGTGTCTCTGTGTGTCTCTGTCTCCACCGCGTGTCTCTGTGTGTCCCCGTGTGTCTCTGTCTCCACCGCGTGTCCCCGTGTGTCTCTGTGTGTCTCTGTCTCCACCGCGTGTCCCCGTGTGTCTCTGTCTGTCTGTCTCCACCGCGTGTCCCCGTGTGTCTCTGTCTCCACCGCGTGTCCCCGTGTGTCTCTGTCTCCACCGCGTGTCTCTGTGTGTCCCCGTGTGTCTCTGTCTCCACCGCGTGTCCCCGTGTGTCTCTGTCTCCACCGCGTGTCTCTGTGTGTCCCCGTGTGTCTCTGTCTCCACCGCGTGTCTCTGTGTGTCCCCGTGTGTCTCTGTCTGTCTGTCTCCACCGCGTGTCCCCGTGTGTCTCTGTCTGTCTGTCTCCACCGCGTGTCTCTGTGTGTCCCCGTGTGTCTCTGTCTCCACCGCGTGTCCCCGTGTGTCTCTGTCTCCACCGCGTGTCCCCGTGTGTCTCTGTCTCCACCGCGTGTCTCTGTGTGTCTCTGTCTGGCTATCTGTCTCCACCGCGTGTCCCCGTGTGTCTCTGTCTGTCTGTCTGTCTCCACCGCGTGTCCCCGTGTGTCTCTGTCTGTCTGTCTGTCTCCACCGCGTGTCTCTGTGTGTCCCCGTGTGTCTCTGTCTCCACCGCGTGTCCCCGTGTGTCTCTGGCTGTCTCCACCGCGTGTCCCCGTGTGTCTCTGTCTGTCTGTCTGTCTCCACCGCGTGTCCCCATGTGTCTCTGTCTCCACCGCGTGTCTCTGTGTGTCCCCGTGTGTGTCTGTCTCCACCTCGTGTCTCAGCTGCGACGCTGCAGGCAGCAGCGCTGCGGCCTGGAGCAGCGAGTCTCCCGCCTGACGCTCAGCCTCTCGGCCACGCGGGAGACGCTGGAGACGCAGGCGGAGACACTGAGACACGGGGACGCCGAGACACGGGCACTCAGGGGAGAG